AATGAAATATTGAGAACAAACTAAATATTCAGAAATAACAGTATGTACTCATTTAGAATTGTCATTTAAACCTTGTAGAAAAATGGTTTATGATTTGGGAAAATGTTTACAATGTCTTATTAAGTAAAAAACAAGTTATAAAATATCATGTCTACAGTATATTTTAATTTGCCAAAAATAATATATGTATAAATATGCATAGAAAGAAAACTGAATGAATGTACACTAATGTGTGAATAGAGACCATATCTGTGTGGCTGAGTTGCAGATTTTATTTTATTTTATTTTTATTTTCTAATTTTCTATAGCTAGCATGCATAATTTTGTAATTTTTTTAACACAAAAGAGGCTATTTCACAAATAGTTGTCAAATTAAAAACTTCAAACATTTTTAAAAATGATAGTGTATGAATGAAAGATACATTATTTTTCAGGCTATAGATAATGCCTGTATTTAGAGATTCGATACCCTGGATAGGAAATGGCTGATCGAATTCAACTTTTTTCATTCTGAAGATAAACAAAGAAGACCCAAAAAAGTGAGGTGACTTGCCGAAGGTCATCTTTATCAAGCAAAGAAAAAAAAGTCCAGAGTAGAAAATGTAGTTATAGTTTTAAAAATACATTTGCATTAATTTGAAGTTAACCTGAATCCCCCATCTGTGTGCACAAAGCTTTGTACTTATTTCCTAAACCTAGAGAAAAATGGCCAAATTTGGTACAAGTGAATTTATCATGGGTTGATAAATAAGTAACTGGAAGATTGATCTCCAAGAATCTCAAGATCTGGTCAGTGTGGATTTATGTGATTATGTTGCTCCTCAAGAGGTATTTTCGATATATTGGTATAACTAGGTGGCAATTCACCATTTAAAGAAGTTTGGCCTGGGAGGGGGATCCTTCTCCAAAGTGCCTCACTTGGTTCCAAGGAGACTGACACCATCAATTAACAATCCCCATTCAGCCAAGGAAATTGATTTGACGTAAGAGGGATTGTGCGAGGGCTCATACCAGGCATATTAAACTCATTTTCAGCTAATTCAAAGCATAAAACAAAGAAGCATTTGCAGGAGCAACAGAATATGGTCAACCACAATTTAGGGAAAAAGAAAAGGAATGCCCATTATGGAGAACAGGAAAGAAGCTTCAGTTTCAACAGGAAGTTGCCTCAGGCTTGGATCTAGAAATTAATTGTATTTTTGTTAAGTCATAATTTACAGCATCTTAAAAAGAACTGAACAAGAAAACTAGATAGAATAGAGTAAAAATGCAGTTTAAAAACTAAGAGAATAGGAGACCTGTCACATCTTTTGATTCTGGGGTGGGATCTTTAGCCAGACTGAGGAAAGCAAAGGGGATTGTCACTGGTGTTCCCTCCTATCTTAACTTTGAATCCAGAGAACACAACTGGAGAGCTTTATTCTGCGCTAACTCTGTGCTCTGTTTTCTCACCTTGTCAGAATTGAGTTCTACTCTGATTTGCTTTGGATGTTGGCTGAACTGAGGTTACAGGGAAAAGCAAAAGTGTTGCCAGGGGCTTGGAGAGAGGGGACTGAGGTGTGACTATCTAATGGGGAGGGTCTCTTTTGGAGCAGTGAAAACATTCTGAAACTAGGTAGTGGTAATCGTTGCAATACATTGTGAACGTACTAAATGCCATGAATTTTATACTTTACAATGGTTAGAGCAGTGTGTTTTGTGTTAATGAGTTTTAACACAGTAAAAAAAAAAAAATTAAGGCTTCAACTGCAGTGCACTGGGGAGAATGATTTGGGGAAGAATGGGGGAGGCGCTGGCATCACGGAAGCCAAAAGGAGACAGAGAGAGTGAGGGGCTACAGGACTCCGCTAGAATCAGCAGGACTTCTGGCTTGGAAATGAGCCCTGATTTTCTTTGCTGAGTCCACTTTCAGTTCTTCTGTGGCACTGCTTCAGCATCTAATTCAGCTCACCCAAGATGCATACAGAAGCCATAAGCTGTCTTATAGTCTAATGTAGCTTGTAGATTTTTTTGCCCTAGCAGTATCTTTTGTTTTATTTTACTATTTTATTTTGTGTAAATGTCTTTAGATGGCGTAAGCTTTCTCCAGCTTTATATATACCTTGTGGCTCCCTATC